TTGCTGTATTAAAACCTATTTTTCTACTTTCACAGTGTTTTGACTTTTTTTTTGGGGGGGGGGAGAGGGTTAACTATCTGCCCATAGCTGGGACCCTGAAGGTGCTACCACCCCAGGTTAGGGTGGACCTGGGAAGACCAGCAATTAAGAGGTGGTTCCATGCTCCTCAAAACCTGATTAAATACCTTGCTGTCGGATGTAGTTTATCGTCTTACCCAGGACGCAATAATTTTGTGTTCAAGACAATAATCTTTGCACACTGACAATAGATAAGCTTTTAATTGTAATTATGAAGAAATGTATTTAATCCGTTAATTGATTTAGTATTACATACTAAACACATTTTTCTTTCATTCATGAAGAAATTAAATAGTTACACACTTCAGTTAGAGTCTGAACCCACATCCAAATTCCACTTGATATATATATAACTATATGATTCTTGCTTAACTAGAAGGTCTCAATATGTACCCTCCGCAAAATTTGGTTTCGATTCAGTCAATGTATGGCTATTTTAGAGGGTGTGACGGACAGATTAGCGGAACTCACAGAATTATATATATATATATATATATATATATATATATATAGATGTATTTTCCATCAACATGGTGTGATCTGCGTAATTTTATTATTAGGATTGTACTCAGCAATATATCGTAAATCCTGGTAGAACTTCCAGTTCTCTTAGGATTGCTTGGCTGTATAGGTTAATTAAATCCGGTGAGAAGACGCCCCAGTACCTGATAGCAGACAGGAACACCTACGGAAAGTAGTAAAAGAAAGTTGGAAGAATTTGTGGTTTGTCAGCAAAATGGGCAGCCATGGATGTGAGCTACGATTTGGAGATGACGGAATCGAGTAAGTACAAGAGATTTAGGCAATGCTTTCACTGGTGACGCAAAATGTGGCACAGACAGACAAAGACACATTGGAGAGAAGAAGAAAAAGAAGAAGAAGAAGAAGGAGGAGAAGAAGAGGAAGAGAGAAGAAGAAGGAGGAGGGGAAGAAGAAGAAGAGGAAGAGAGAAGAAGAAGATGAATTGGAGGAAGAGAGAAGAAGAAGAAGAAGAAAAAGAAGAAGAAGAAGAAGAAAAAAAAAAGAAAAAGAAGAAAGAGGAGGCGGAGAAGAAAACGCGTTGTTATGTCATGAATCAATTCATTTTCTATCTTTATGTAAGCAGTTTTCTCCCAGTATATATTTTGGACTGATTTAATGTCTTACACACACACACACACACACACACACACACACACACACACACACACACACACACACACACACACACACACACAAACAAACTGATAATAAATATTATATTTCTTGTTCCAGTGTCTTTAACGAAACAACATTGTTCTTGATCTTCCTAATGTCTGTCCAATGAACACAACTATTTATTTCTCTTTTAGTAGCAAGTCTGTTAGGTTCGACAAAGTCAAACTGGCAAAATGCTCTCGAAAATGACTTCCAATCAGTGGTTAGCAGGGACAAAGAATAGCTTGTAAATTTTAACGGCTCCAAAACGAAACTGCTATCTTTTAATACCAATAGAGAAACCCTTTTTGCCTTCTATCAGAATGGCTGATGCTAACCTCCAGGAGGGCACCGCTTTGCACCTTCTTGGATTCACTCTTTCTTCTGATATGAAGTGGAATGATTATATTGAATCAATTGCTAGATCTGCTGCTAGGAAAGTTGGTTTACTGTGACATGCTAGATAATTTTTCCCGCCAAAATCCATCTTACACATTACTAGATCTGCCATTCGTTTGGACATTGAATATTACTGTCATATCTTGTCTTGTTCTCCGGCTCAAGATTCTCGACAAAACCCAAAGAAGTGCCTGCAATGTTAACAGTCCTGACCTGGCATCTCGGCTTCAGTCACATCCCCCAACTCATCGTTACGTGGCTTCCTTTTGTCTCTTCTATAAATATTTTCATGGTAATTGTTCTAATGAATTTAACTTCTTGGTATCTCGATTACATGAATCTAATCGTACTACTTGATTGGCAATTAGGTCTCACCTTTTTTACTGTTGAATTAGTTTGATGTAACCGTAAGTTCTATTCTAATAGATTCTTTTCTCGAACTTCTTATCTGTAGAATTCTTTTCTGTTTTTTTTTTTTTTGCTTCCCTGACATCTACGTTCTTCAAAAATTTAAATGTAACTTCAATGGCCACTTTCTCTCTTCCTGAAATCTGTTTTTTATTGTCCTTTCCCCTCACTAAAGTCTTCTTATTCCCATTCGATCTCAATAACCCATTGCATCTTAGTGGCATTGTCGCCTTGCTTGGGGTCAAATGATTGGAAAAAAATCTATTACTACTATTTATAATATATTGACACTGGTTGAGATTATAGCAATCGAGAACTCCACAACGTCAATGACTGCAGAATATGCGCTACACTAGAGTTACATATGATTTTGAATTCAGACTTGTCCGCTTTTTTTAAAATAATAATGTTCACTCTGTGTAAGAGACAATCGAGGTAGATCTTTACAGAGATAAGAGGCACAGTTTATGAGGAAATGCGGGGAAGAAAACAGTTAACCCTGCCGACTAAACAGGTTAAGATTTTAGTGATCTGGGAAACATCCTCTTGGGAGTCGGTTCCAAAAAGCATAAGTTCTTGGGCAGAAGCTCCCCGAGTGGAACTTACATCTCACCTATGAAATATCAAGGAAATATGTGGGATAAATCGACACGGGCGTGGCTACTCAGATGACACACCTTAAGAGAGAAACTGAGTCGCTTTTAATTGGCACAAATAAAAAAAAAAGACAGAAATATAAACACATTATGGCAAATAGCACACAAAAGAAAAGAAAATGTAGGAAATAAAGACGAGACAATCAACCATATGAGATGCAAACGGATTATCTTAATTCGATGAACGGATTAGGCCGTCATCAATGAGAGGGAAACACGCTGCTAGAAATTTTGCAGTTCCTGAAAATGCCAGAGTAAATAAAAAATAAAGCGAAAAGATATATATATATATATATATATATATATATATATATATATATATATATATTGTTTCATTAAATAATATAGACAAGTGTTGTCTATTTTATGTAAATTCTTTTCATATCGTCTAATAATCTTAATAACATTATCATTGAAAGAAGAAAGGAAATCACCATATTGATACATGTTTTTTAATCCTATCTAAGCTTTTGGCTTACATAAGCCATTATCAAAGATGACAATAACATTACAATATATTAACCAATAGACCGACAAAACAATGATGATTGTCTGTTTAGGTGAAACCTAGGTAGGTTTGCCTGGCTCCTTAGGATTATCTTCGGTTTTGCTCTACTTAGTGTATTGAGAACTTTACGTAGTTGTCTTTTTCCTCGTTTGGGTATTTTTTTCTTTGTACTTGGAGCTTAAACACTGGACGATTGTTTTTGCCTTGTTTTAATGTTCTTGGTTCTTTCTTTTTTTATTCCCCATTTTTCCTCGGGTACCGATATGTTCTACTGCAAGTCAAGCTAGCCAAGGTTTTTCCAAATGAGTACTAACATTTATATATATATATATAAAAGGCAGGATGTGTGTGTGTGTGTAACGAATGCACGGCCGCAATTTTCGACGGATTTGCACCAAAATTTACATACACATGCTCCAAGTTAGCGGAAAGGCCAAGACCGACTTTGCATTTTCCAACTCCCATCGATAGCGGAAATAATCGATTTTTTTTAATGCTTCTACGGCAGTTTTCATTTAGTTTGCGGCCATTTTGTACTGGCCAGAGTGAGAGCCTATAGCTGGTTGACACGAATAGGCAGGAAGATTCTATTGGCCAGCGTGAGAGCCAACAGCTGACTGACACGAATGTTAACTAGCATCGAAAAAAATCGATAGTTGCATTCGTCACAAGTGGGAAAAATTTAAATCTGCATGGCACTTTACTCCAATTGGCTCATTCGCTTGCTTAAACTCAATGTTGATTCTGATTCCGCAGAACTGGGTTGGGTGTAAAAAAGTATTTGTTGTTAATATTCATTTTTCATTCGGTTTTTCCAGTTACAAGTCCTTTTTTTAAAGCTGATCGTTTTGTGTTTATTTTCTTTAGTTCTTTTTTCGTAACAGATTTAATGTTTAGTATAGAGCTTAGAAAAAATTCGCAGTGTGAGATAGGCAAGAAGTAAGGCATGTAGCAACATCAGCACGACAAAAGGCACTCCTTTAAAGGCAAGGAAGGGCAAAAATATTTTAAGTCAAGTGATAGCGATTGCTGTATGAGTCGTACGATTTTTGAATCAAGCACTGGCAACGCCGGGCCATGCTGCTAGTATATATATATATATATATATATATATATATACTACACGCCTTACTTAAAAAGAGCGTGGGCGTTCATGGTTCTCCCATCTTTCTATCCCTTGTGACCCTGTTCCACCCATCCATTCACCCAACCTTGTCCAATAGGTGACCCTTTATCTTCCTCTATCTCTCTTACACTCGATATGCCTCGTGAGGGTTAAGTTTTCTAACCCGTCCTTCCTCATTATGTGCCCAAGGAATTTCACATATCTTTTCCTGATTCTGAGTAGTAGTGCTTTTTCTGTTATCATTATTTCTAAGTCTTCCTCGTCTCTAGCTCGTTCCGTTTATGGAATTCGCAGTATCCTTCTGTAGCACCGCATTTCTGTTGCCTCCTGTTTTCTCTTCATCTCTGGGGAGATTCTCCAGCATTGAATGCCTTACTACAAGAGGGTTGAAATCACATTGCAATTCGACACTCTTGTCTTTGTTTCTAACGAAATTTTCCTGTTTCTTGATATGTTGCATGCTTTTATAAGGCATCTTCCACTAATTTATTTTATGCGTGTTCGGATTTCGGTGTCGCATTTTCTATCCCCTGTTATAAACACTTCATATTCAGACTCTTCTGAGTTAAAGAACAAATATTTAAATTTCTTTGTTTATTTGCTGTTGAAATCATTAATTCGTTGTTCGCATCCAAAGTTTTGTCTTTTTATGATTGCTTTATTACTTACGCCATTTTTTAGTTCAACAGATTCGTTTGTTAATTTATTTTTCTTTTTCCATTCTTTCTTTCTTTCTTTCTTTCTTTCTTTCTTTCTTTCTTTCTTTCTTTCTTTTTCCATGTTTTCTTTCTATCTTTTTCCTTTCTTTCTTTCTTTCTTTCTTTCTTTTTCGTTTCTGTTTTCATTCTTTTTCCATTTTTCTTTCTTTTTTCTTTTCCATTCTTTCTTTCTTTTTTCCATTTTTCTTTCTTTCTTTCTTTCTTTCTTTCTTTCTTTTCTTTCTTTCTTTTCTTTCTTTTTCCATGTTTTCTATCCATCGTTTTCCGTTCTTTCTTTCTTTCTTTCTTTTTCCATGTTTTCTTTCCATCGTTTTCCGTTCTTTCTTTCTTTCTTTCTTTCTTTCTTTCTTTCTTTCTTTCTTTTCGTTTCTTTTTTCATTCTTTTTTCATTTTTCTTTCTTTTTCTTTTCCATTCTTTCTTTCTTTCTTTTTTCCATTTTTCTTTTTCTCTTTCTTTCTTTTTCATCACTTCTTTCTTTTTTCTTTCTTTCCCATTTTTTCTTTCTTTCATTCTTTCTTTCTTTTTGCAAGCCGCTGTCTTTTTTGCTATTGATGATATTCCATTCTTTCTTTCTTTTCACCTCCATTTTCCTCCAATTTCCATCTCCAGTTTCCCTATTAATTAAACAGAAACAAAATGGAAGCTTTCCATTTTAGTGGAATTCATCTTTTTGTCCCTGGCAAAATTTGTCACCGTGAGTCGGTTATGCGTTTCTCTCACCGCTCATTCATTGGTAGAAACGTCTTTGTAAATTAACCGTTCGTTCTTTTTTTTTACTATCTGTTTGTTTTTCTTAATTGTATCAAAAATCAAACTTTTATCAGCATTTGAATGGCACAAGGTCAAGCAGGGCGATTTGGAAACGGGGAAATTGGGATAAAGCAGTTTTGAAAAACACAGAGAATTATCTACCTTGTAAATATATGCCTCCCCCACCAACTCCAGGTTTGAAATGCGACTTCTAATGACGGATAAACATGAAAAAGTTTCATTGATTTGTGAAAGAGAGGAGATAAAGGGGAGAGTGTAGGGAGATAAATAGAGTGGATAGTGGGGAGAGAGTGAGGGGAGAAAAATCAAGAGGAGAGAGTGAGGTGGAGAGAGTCGGGGAGAAAGATAGAGGGGGCAGAAAGAGGGGGAATAGGAGAGGGAGTGAGGGGAAGTGAGAGGGGAGAGAAGGAAGGAAAAGGGAAAAGAGGGGGAAGAGAGAGGGGAGAGAAAAGGGAGACAGGGGATAGAGAGAGGGGAGAAAGTGAGAGGGGAGAGATGGGGAGGAAGAGAAAACAGAAAAATTAAGATAAAATGAGAGAACGAAAGAAAGCAAAAAGGAAAGGAAGAATGTGTGTGCATATATGTATGCGTGTATGTGCGTGTGTATGTATATGTGCATATATGTATGTGTGTATGTGCGTGTGTATGTATGCATATGTGAATATATGTATATGTATATGTGCGTGTGTATGTATTTGTGTGTATGTATGTATATGTGCATGTATGTATGTTTGTCTATATGTATGTGTTTCTATTTATATATATATGTGTCTGTATGCATGCATGTGTGTGTGATGATGAAAGGAACATTCTTTTATATATAATGTTTTTTAATTTCATATTTTTTCAAACATTTTGGTAATTTTTATTTATTTCTTTATCCAATTGGATTTTAGTTAAAAAATGGAAAATTATTGAAATGAATTAAAACGGAAAAAAATCCCCAAAATATTTGATATTTTTTTACAAGTATATTTAATAAAACATGTTATATTCTTTTACAGCCAGCGACATCAATTCCATTAACCTATGGAGAGCTGTCTGAAAATATGAGTAGAGAATTTTCCTAATCAATAAATCAGTCACTTAAGTGCCATACGTGATACACGGTTGAGTGATCATATTTTTTTTAAGCAAATTACACCCCAAGCAAGACGGGAAGCCACTAGCACGCAAGGGGTTACAGAGAGTTGGAGCGAGAGCAAAGAGGAGTGATAGAGGAAAGGATGAAGAGAGGGATAGGGGATAGATCAGGGCATCTGGAGACGTCGATTGACATTACATTTGAATAGTGGGAGATTATAGCTATCAGGAAAACAAGAAATGGGGAGGGAGTTCCACAGGTGAGAAGTGCGAGACATGAAGCTATTGGAGTAGAAGAGACGGCTACATTTAACAGTTTCGGCAATGAAAGGGTGTGAGCAAGATGCCAGCCTAGTTGAATGCTTAAATTCATGAAGTCTGGGAACCAGCGAAAGCAGCTCATCGGAGCAGTTACCGTGAAAGTATTTGTAAAAAAAAAAGGCAGAGGAAGGCAACGGTACGTCTGTGAGAAAGCGACTGTAGATGAGATGCCAGATCAGGGCCAATTACATTGCATATCCGTCTTTGGATTTTATCGAGGACCTTGAGACAAACAGAAGGCACAGTGAATAAAAGCGTTGGTTAGATCCAGTGAGAGGTCACAAAGAGTGTGAGTTCAATACCTGCTTAAAGCAGCGGAGAACTTGCAGAGGGAAATTAACAGGAGATAACTGATATCCATTAAACATGGCACGTAGAACTAGAACAGTCTACCCCAGTGAGTGAAATAAAGGGTTCAGTCCGAAATTCCAACCACCTGAAGAAGGCCGGAGCGTACAACGGCCGAAACGTTGTAATAAATATGGCGACAAAGTTGAGGACAATAGACCGAATAATGTAAAGTGTACATAATACCACATCTCAGAAATATAGACAGATACTGAAAGGCCGAAACGTTGTAATAAATATGGCAACAAAGATGAGGACAATAGTCCGAATAATGTAAATCGTGTACATAATACCTCGTCTCGGAAATATGGCGACAAAGATGAGGACAATAGTAAGATGTAGTCAATTGAAGATTACGGAAGATTACGGAAATATTTACAGGTGCGACTATAGTATACGATCTACGGAGGCATTTGTGACCTACCGTCAATGACGATGCAATCATTATTGCTGGAAAACGCTCAGGAAAAACAATAACCAGCTTACTGTCTTTTTAAATGACAACAAATCAGTTTAAAAACATTAAAATCACTATTTGATGATTAAAAAAATGTATAAAAAATATTAATATTAAACACTATTTATTAAACTGTTTATTTACAAGAATAATTTTATATTTACAACATTCTAAAAAGTAATACAATTAAAACTAATGCAATGTGATATTTATCATTTACCAATTTATAAAGAAACAAATATGAAATTTTTTTATTTATAAATTCATAAATTATTAAAATATGTGAACCAACTCTAAGGAAATCTTTATTTACCATTTTATAAAGTTTGAATCTATTGGAAATTAGCCAATGTTTTGCCAACTATTCCAATAATCTTATAAATAAATAGTGTTTATTTATTTTTTTGTTGTCAATTCTCAAGAACAAAGACAATTCTATAAATTTACTTTTATATGTTGCCGACGTGTGTTTGTAGTTAAAATAAAAGCGGTTTCAAGTGAAAATTGTCCTTTTGATTCTCCATATTTAAAATATGTGAACCAACTCTATTCTTTTTCTTTTCAACTTATATAAAAATTGTTCAATTCTTCTTCCGAGCGCTTTCGGCTATACATTTAGTCATTTTGAAATATATTAACTGTTAACAAGAAATAGATTGTTGCATGTATGCATTTATATGATGTTTTCATTTTCAAAACACGCTCAAGATAGTGTCTCTGTTCACAATTGATATTATTAAGTGTTGTTTTTTTTGTTTTTTTTATAAGGCTTCCATTATTGTTAGATAATGTAGATGATGCTATTATATTTGCGTAGTCAACAAGTATGTCAGAAATAGGGTCCAGTAGGTCTCCATGAATATTTAATTGAGATCTAATTGAGCTATGAGAAAGATGTAGTGGAATCTTCTTGTCAAATATGTTGATAATATATATATATATATATATATATATATATATATTACGATAAACGTGCAATCAATTTACAAATACATGAATTATTCACACAAAAACTAATGCAAAGGTTAATGATTTAAATGGCGAGACATCCATCATCGCAAACAATTCGATACCTGAAGATGTCTGTAGGAACAGACGAAAGCTTGTAGTAAAATAAGAACTAATACGGCAGAAATTTATATAAACAAGGATCATTTCATTCATAACAGATACGGAGGTTTTTGTATATTATTTGAATTGTTTGCGATGATGGATGTCTCGCCATTTAAATCATTAACCTTTGCATTAGTTTTTGTGTGAATAATTCATATATATATATATATATATATATAATGACAAACACTTAAAAACAATAGGTGATATTTTATTTCATTGAAGTCATTAAAACACGGCTTCATATCTTCAGATCTGTAAACCAAATTTGGTTTACAGGTCTGAAAATCTGAATTTGTGTTGTAACGACTTTAATGAAATAAAGTATCACCTATGTTTTTTTAAGTGTTTGTCATTATATAATAATTTTGCTCAGATTCATAACATAGAACACTCAACGGATCTAAATCCTCTTTGAAATTCCATACGGATTACAATAATTTTATTATTAATATATATATATATATATATATATATATATATATATATATATATATATATATAGATTTCATTGTTGGTACAATTATGTCTATTTATTAGGCGTTCTGCGATGGAAGACCCATATGTCTTGGTCAGAATGTCGGAAGGAGTGTACTTAAGATTGTGGATTTTCGTGGGAACGTGTTGTTTTATTCTGTCATCCAGCCTTTGAGTCGTTCTTCTTATGTAGTGCGAATCACAATTACATTTAAAGAATAAATTAAAGAACTATTATGATGTGGAGGTAGAACGTCCTTCTGTATGGATGGAAGGACAGGCTTGGCAGAAAAGACTACACGAGTGTTAGCAGCAAAGTATTAACAATATCGAACCGCTACGGAAACCTGCTTAGCATATCTATCACTGATATTACCCAGCCAAGGAAGGTGCAGGTACACATGACATCTTTTTACTATTACAGGTTTAACATTATTGAATTCAACAATTTTATTTTTAATTATTGATTGAACGATGCCCAACGAATAGGCATTGTTGCAGAGAGTAGTGGTAATAAAACTGAGTTCATCATCCAACTTAATCTTAGAACAGATCATTAAAGCCCTATGGGTAAAGGTTTTATTTAAATTAATTTTACGTTTTACGGAACAAAAAGAATCCCAACGGGTATATAAACCAGTAAATGTCCGTTTGTGATACACAGATGTAAGAAAACCCAACGAAGATCTGCTAACCAAAAACATCAAGAAAGGGAAGAGTAGAATTAATTTTCTTTTCTTGTGTAAATTTTAAAGCTAGATGCATATTATTAAGGGACGAAAGAAAATGATCCGCTTTAATCTCGTTATCGAAGAGACAAAAAATGTAATCAACATAACGGAAGTATCAGGTTTATTAGAATTAGATAATACACTTTCTTTATGGAATCCAACAGAGATGTTTGCTAAGATGGGTTCCAAAGGGGAACCCATTGAAACACCATCAATTTGCCTATAAATGATGCTGTCGAAACTAAATCCAACAGACATCGTGGTAAATTTTATTTATTTTTTTAATACAGGAAGAGTTATACTGTTTCAAAACTGGTTGTAATA